GACCTCATGCTTGCCAGGCATGTGCTGTGCCGCTGAGCTAAATCCCTAGCCCCCCTATTATAGTTCTATAAGAAAAAGATGTTGTAACTGTGGAAAAGAGAAGGTAGAATTGTCTTTACTTGCAAATAATTTGACTTTCTATTTAGATTTAAAAAAAAAAAAAAAACTACTGTGAAATAAAAGTATAGATTTTAAGTGGGCATGATGGCCAGCACCTGTAATCCCAGCCATTCAGAAAATGTGCAGGAGGATTACAAATTTGAGGTAACTTCACAAGGTCCTGTCTCAAAATAAAATTAAAACAGTCTGGGGTTATACCTCAGTGCTTGCTTGGTTTAATCCCCAGTATCACAAAATGAAAAAAAAAAAAAAAGTGTGCAGACTTCAAGTCAGCTGCTTTTACAGCTCCATCTGCCCATTTGTGACCGAGTCTCACTGTTTGGCCCATTCAGGGACTAAAGATTTTGTTCTTACAGTTCTCACTCATCGTTGCTTCCTCTCTTCTAGGTCATCCCAGTCAGCAAGTTATCATATCATATCATGTATGTGTGGATGGGTGGGGGTATACACACATGTGCACACATGTAAGTTACCAGGGATTGGCCTATACCCTCAGCCCTTTTTAAAATTTTATTTTGAGAAAGAGTCTTACTAAGTTGCCCTGGCTCGCTTCACACTTGAGATTCTCCTGCCTTAGTCTTCCAAGTAGCTGGAATTACAGGTGTGCACAACCATTCTTAGCGTGTTATTGCATCTTTAAAATGTCCTCCCTCTGACCTCATTGTGTGTTTTTCCAACAAAACCCCTACTTATTCCCTCCCTTTACAGCAAAACTATTAAAGAGAATTATCCATAGTCACTCCCTCACACCCTTCCTTCCTTTCTTTCTTTCTTAGCAGCATTTGGGATTGAACCCAGGGCTGTCAAACGGAGCTACATCCCCTTTTTCTTTATTTTGTGACAGTATCTTCCTGTGTCACTGAGTTGCCCAAGCTAGGCTTGAACTTTGCAATCCTCCTGCCTCAGCCTCCCAGAGTTCTGCAATTCCAGGTGTGTGCCATCACATCTGGCTTCTCTTTCTCTTTTTATAACCTTTTTTCTTCTCATTCTCCTCTTGATGTCTCCTATGTTGGCAAGAGAACTTGAGTTCATCTGCAGGCCCACTTGGGGCAAGTGTAACAGACAGAACTATGCCCAGTCCTCTTCCACGCCACTGATTTCCCTGACCCTGTCAAGGTCATAGCGGAGCAGGATGTTACATGCTTGCCTGTTCTTTCCTCCTCACGTGTCCCTGCTTCCCCCAGCACTCTTCAGCCCTCTTTGTCCACAGTCCTTGGATCTATCATGAGATCTCTTTCTCAGCCAGGCTCTCTCCCTAGAAGGTCTCAGCAGATCCATGCCCTTATACAGCTACATAGTCACTGATGAGCTGATATTCTTGATTAGAACCTCAAGCCTCCTTCTCCCCAGAGTCTGGATGTTTAAGTCCTGGTGCTGGCTTGAAATCTCCACAACAGGTACAAGGAAGAACAAGGCAGATGAAGTAGTTGCAGTCATAGAGTGTCTGTTCTGGTGAGAAAGGCAGAAAATAAACAACAAGAAAGAGAAAAATAATTTTAGACCATTGTAAGGGATAGAAAGAAAATACAGCAGGACAAGAACAAGTCATCTCAAGGTTGACCCAACTGAACTTGATCTGACTTTTAACTCTCTTTTTTTTTTTTTTTTTTTTTTTTTTTTTTTTTTTTTTTTTTTTGTCTTTTTGAGACAGGGTTTTGCTATGCAGTTCAGGTTGGCCTTGAGCTCACTCTGTAGCTCAGCTGGCCTCGAACTTGCAACGATCCTCCTCTCTCAGTCTCCTGAGTGCTAGGATTACAGGCATGTGCCACCACACCCGGCACTTGACTTTTAACTCTCAAATGAGCCTCCTGCTCCATTGTTCCTCATCTTGGTTAATGGGAACCCTCCACAGCACACACGTTCCTGCACCTGTGTTAGTCAGCTTTCTGTTACTGTAACAAAATCCCTGAAATAACTTACAAAGACAAAGGGTTTATTTTGGCTCATGGTTTCCGAGGTTTCAGTCCATGGTCACTCAGTCCCTTTGCCTCTTGGCCTGTGGTGAGGCAGCACATCATCATCATCATGGGGAGCATCATGGAGCAAGCTGCTCTCCTCGTGGCAGCTAGGAAGCAAAGAGAAACTGGAGGGGCCAGGGTTGCACATGTTCCTATCCACCAAACTTCCTCCCACCCACCCTCCCTCCTGGAACCATGATGGCGAATCTGTGGCACATGTCTTGCAGCACAGTTTGTATCACTGAAAGCTCTAAAAGGTTTGCTGTCACTGTCCTAGAGGTCCTTCCATCTCTCAATAGCACCACGCTGGGCACCAAGCTTTTACCATGTTCCAAATGTAGCTGTAATTCTTGATTCTCACTGCCGGTTGGCTTGATATGCATGACTGTACCATTTCTACCACTGCTGGTTCAAGCCCCTCAATGGGCCAATCATGCATATACCACCAGTGATTCAAGCTGGCAGGAACATGTTAATCCATAGATACTTTTTAAAACCCAACATGTAGCATCCTCCAAACTTTGGTGCATCATCTTTGTCTTTCATTGCCTCCCAAGTGTTCAGTCTGTCCACCAACCCTACTGCCTCTATCTTTAGCATAGATTGTGTCTTTGCTGTGCTGCTGTGACCGAAGTCTTGCCCTTGGCTCCTTGCAGCCCCCTCACTGGCTGTCTCTGGCTGCATCCACTCCAGCCTTCACAACCAGCTTCCCAGCCTCTACGCAGGTCCCCTGGGCCTCACTCAGATGGCCTCCCTCTTGTGCGTGTGGCACACTCCATTGTATTACTGAGTTCTGTGACCAGGTGTCTGTCTTCAGCAGCTCCAGTCCATGCTCCCTAAAATGTGGCTCCCTCTCCAGCATGTGCCATTGCTCTTCCCTTGCGTATTTTCTATCCCTTACAAAGTTCTGAAATTATTTTTCTATTTCTATTTTTCTTTATCTTCTGTCTCTCACACCAGAACAGGCACCCTATGACAGCAACAGTTTCATCTGTGTTGGTTTTTCTGTTCCTGTTGTGTTGAGAATAGACCTGGCACATAAAAGGTGCTCAGTTAATAGCAGTAGTGTGAATTTCAGTACTTGCCAGTTATAAATCATACTGGTAGCTGGGCGTGGTGGCGCACGCCTGTAATCCCAGCACTCGGGAAGCTGAGGCAGGAGGATCACTTCGAGTTCAAGACCAGCCTGGGCTACAAAGTGAGCTTAAGTCTAGCCTGAACTGCATAGCAAGACCTTGTCTCAAAAAGACAAAAAAAAAAAAAAAAAGCACTGGAGAAATAAAACATGTATTTACTCTAGTTTGTCTCCTAAACAACAGGTAAAAGATACTTTTACTTGCTTATCAAATTGGAAAAAACTAGTGTCGTGAAAACATTGGTGAAGAAACTAGAAATGGAGATTCTCATTTCCGGCTGGCAGAAATATAAAATGGTTTTAGCTCTCCTAAGTGGTAAATCATGGGTGTTTTTTTCTACTTTAATTTTTGTGATTTTCTGTGTTTCCCAGTGTTTTCCAATGATTACTCCCCTGTCCCTAGGTTACTTTTTAAACCAAAAATAAAAACCCATTATCTTACTTTCCCTTTTAAAAAAACCTAACACCTGTCTTAACCCTCACACTGCAAACTTGTGGCGTGAACTGCAGGGCAGGCTGGACTTGTTTGCTCAGCCCTCTTCTTTGAAGAAGGTTTCATCTGAGCCCAGTGTTCGATTTCTCTGCAGCAATGCGAACGTACGGTTATCGCAAACTGTGCAGAGCCCAGAGCCACTGTTGCGCAGAAGCTGTTTTGTGAGCCCACTGGAAACGCGGGGCTGGGAAACGCAGGGCTGGGAAACGCATGCAGCGTGCAAGTGAGGCCCACCCAGTTTGAGGTGAGGTCCTGCGACCCTTCCTGCCAAGGCACGGTGACCACAGGCAGGAAAGCTTCACGTTCTTGGCAGGTGCCCTGTCCTGCCCCCTCGCTGCTGGGCCGAGGGGGAAGCTGTGAGAGCCACAGCTCCTCTGGCTCGCCTCTCCTGCATGCCGTGTGCCAAGTGCCCAGCCTCCCTGGCGGGCCCCCAGTTTCCCAGAAGGGAGGCCCACGGCGGAGTGGCCTAGCCAGTGGGCTGAGTGCGGCTGCCCTTCATTTCTTTCTGCAGATGCGTTGCCAGGCCGACATTTCATTTCAGGGTATTTTGGGGGTTTAGCAGTTACTTTTCCGAGAACCCAGAGCCCAGCTGAGTGGTGTTTGTCGTGCGGCACACACTTGGCTTCCCGCCTCAGCGATTATGTTCACGTTTTCTCGACCTCACTCCTCTTAGATGCTGGAACTCTGACAGTTTGCACAGCCAACCTCAACAGCCCGCCAGTCGGCTGAAGGTTGTTCTGAATGGTACCGTGAGCTGTGGGTTGGCGCTGGCTCAGGGTATCCAAATGGCGCATGCTGTGACATCCCAAATGTGGGCCTGCTGGGGTGGCTTGAGGGGCCTCTTAACTCCGTCCTCTCATTGAAAAGCCTGCCCTTCTCCTTTGGAGCAAAGGGGACACAGCGGAGCGGGCAAGCGGGAGAGCAGCCCACTACCCCTACCTGCTGGTGGGAAAGCAGTTCCTCTTCCCTCCTTAGCTGCCTGGCAGAGGTCTGATTGTGTCTTAGGACGTGTGATGCAGCTTCGTTCAAGAATGTGCACATGGGAAAAGGGAGAGAGTAAGCGTGGTTCTCCATCGCCCTCCACCACGGCTTCAGCCCGGCAGGACTTGGGGCTCTGTACAGACCAGAGGGCCGCACGGGATTATAATTAACCTGCTCCTTTGCCCTGCTGCCCAGTTATTCCTTTATTTACACTTCATGCCTGCCCACTTGTCTCTCTGTGGGGCCTGAGGGGCTAAACAGAATTCTGCAGTGACTTTGGTTTGCATTTAACCACCTTCTTTTCTTTTTACAGCTTAAACTTTGGAACAAATACCGGATTTCGAACATTCCATCGCTAATATTCCTAGATGCTACCACTGGCAAGGTTGTGTGCAGGAACGGGCTCTTGGTGATCCGCGATGACCCAGAAGGTGAGGTGTCGCCGCGTGTCCATCTGCACGCTCGCTGCTGACTTCCCTCCTTCTCTTGCCCCAGTCCCCTCCTTGCTGGCACAGGCAGTGCTAATAAAACGTGTATAAGTGGGTTTATGTGGCTAGAAAACATTGTCTTGATGAAATTATGCTGTTCTCTAGGTCGTGGTTAAGATTTATAAAGGGACCAGAATGTCCCTCTAGGGGGCTTTAATTCATGGGCCAACGCAGATGGAGTCTGAAAAAGAAAGTTCAGCTCTGAGGGCTCAGGAGGCTGCTGGAAAGCAGTGAGGACCCAGATACTTACTGGCTTCTAGTGCTCCTTCCACGGCAGCTGTTACCTTAGCAGTTAAGCCACGCTAAGTGGGGTGGGGTTTCTTTTTCCCTCTTGTAATATAGATTGAATATCCCTTATCTAGAAGGCTTAGGAGCAGAAATGTTTTAGATTTTGGAGTGTTTTGGAGTTTAGGATATTTGCATAGGCTTTACTGATTGAGCGGCATTAATCTAAAAATCTGAAATCCAAAATGCTTTGAAATCGGAATCTTTATGAGCACCAGTGACTCTCAAAAGCTCCAGATTTTAGATTCAGGGGTAGAAGACTAGAGTTGTTCTGCGTGTCCACCACAGCAGAGTTGCAGACTGTGGGTGCTGTCCTGGCCAGGGTGAGTCGGGCCTAGGTCCTGCTGACTTGCTGACCATAGCCGTGGAGTGGGGCGGGGGCTCTGACCCCCTGCTCAAGGGCCAGTGAAGGTCTGCTTCTTTCCCACTTGCACTGGAATGATAAGAATCTTAAGACCTCCCTTCCCTCGCTTATTGCTCAGATTAGAGGCTTCAGCCCTGGTCATAAATTTTTCCAGTAAAAAAATTTTCACCTGTGTTGAAGGATTGCTCTCTGTAAAAACCAGGGCATGGTGGAACCAGGTCTGCCCTTGGCACACACACATTACTCCAAAGATTGTTCACAATGTAGATGGTCCGGGCCCTTCCCCAGAGATGTTTCTATTCTTGTGTTTCAGGGTGGGCTTGGCCACTTGCATTTTAATTGGTCTGTGCCCCTCCCTCCCGTCCTGGACCCCTCCGGCAGTTTTGAGGCAGTGGGCCTAGGACCACCCTGTGAGAAAACACTCTTCTGCCGAACTGGGAGCATATTATTTATTCTTCCTGCCTGAAGTTTAAGTACCATCACACTACTGAGCATCTGGGTTAAGTGGGCTTTATTCTTTTCTCATTACACTTAAATTCTCGCTTAGTTCCTTGAGCCCCAACTCAGACCAACTGAATCAGAATCTCTGGGGTGTGTTCCAGTAACATCATATTTTTTAATTCCCTGTTTGATTCTAACATACAGTCAACACTGAGAACCGCCGAGATGCCAGGCTTAGTTGGGCTTGAATTGACTCCTGGTTAATACGTGAGGCAGTGACTTCCAGACTTAGCCCTCATTCAAAATAACTAGGAAGTCTGTTTTGTTGTGTTGTGTTCTGTTGTGTTCTGTCCTGTCCTGTCCAGTGTGATTACAGGGGGTTGTTCACTGGGAACTGAACTTAGGGCCTTCATACTGATCTACACTACCAGACTTTTTATTTTTTTATTTTTGAGATAGGGTCTTTCTAATTTAATTGACTTCATTGCCCAGGCTGTGCTCAAACGTGCAATCCTCCTGCCCCGGCCTCAAAGTGTAATGCAGTGATTACAGGCGTGTATCCCCATGCTCACCTTGTTCTGTTGTATTTTGCCAGTACATCTCCAGCCTTGCTTCTGTATCCTGAGTTTAAGTTGTCCTGCCTGCAGCCCTGAGGCTTCTTGGGTCCCAGGCCGTAATGAAGAGCCTTGCGGTTTATGCCATCTGTTGCCTCTTTCAGGTCTGGAATTCCCCTGGGGACCTAAGCCCTTCAGGGAAGTCATCGCAGGGCCCTTGCTTAGAAATAACGGGCAGTCACTGGACAGCAGCAGCCTGGAGGGGTCTCACGTGGGAGTCTATTTCTCCGCACACTGGGTGAGTGTTTGGTTCCTTCCTAGTCCAGACAAGCAGAAGCAGCAGTGTCGCCACTAAGCCCAGCTGTGGTTGGCTTCTGTCTTCTGGAGGTGTGCCTGCTCTGCCAGGAATGTCCTGTCCTTTGTGCCTTCTGCACCTGGTGCATTCTGGTATGCAGTGAGTGCTTAATGTTATGAATGATGATAGACACAAGAAGATGACTCCTTTGAACTGACCTAAAAGGATATTCCTCCTAACCCACGCAGGTGATAGCTCTAAGGGCCCCCGGGGGGCTGTTCTAACTGCTGCCTGCTGGCACACTGCGTGGGCTGGACAGAGCCTCTGCTGGATGCTCACCATGGAGAGAGGCAAGCTTAGTACCACCTCTTTGATAAACTGGGTTTTGCTGTCCCAGTCCGACTTGGCTCTTGCTGACTTGGACTCTGATGACAAGTGGCTGAGAAATCGAGAAGGTTCTTCACGCAGCAGGGTTCTGCTCTTTTCTTTCAGTGTCCACCCTGCCGAAGCCTCACCCGGGTGCTGGTTGAGTCCTACCGGAAGATCAAGGAGGCAGGCCAGAAATTTGAGATCATCTTTGTTAGTGCAGACAGGTAACGTGTGTCTGGGCAGAGGCAGTGCTGCGCGCCTTCCCTGTAGATGATTAGCATCCGTTTCTTTAGCTTTCCATTTCTTTCTTTTTGTAGGGTATGGAGGTGGGGGTTGGGGATGACATCTGAGATTATTGGTGGGGAGGCGGATACATTTCACATTTGCTCATGTGATTGTCTGAAGGCGGCTGAGAAACACCTCTTCTTGCTGTAAACACTGGGGCATGTCCCAATCCAGGCCTGAGCTGTTTGAGATCGGGATGTGTTTTCTGATTCATTCAGCTTTCTAGATTGTAAAAAAAAAAAAAAAAGGATATGGACTGGGGAAGATGGAAGGGAGCCAGAGACTAACACGTGTCATGTGTCTTGGATGGATGTGCAGTTGTCTTCTCTGCTTGGGCCGCAAACTCCATTAGGAGCTATTTGAATGCACATGGATCAGGAATCACAAAAGCAAGGAGGGCAGAGGGACCTTCTTCCTGGGGCAGATCAGGTCCTTTTAGCTTCAGTTTCCTGCCCTTCTTGATATCCCTCTGGCTTCCCCCATCAGTGAACTCCCTTCAGCTCCAGCCCTAGTTCCGACTGAGCCTCTCCTCCAGCCCTGATTCCGGGTGCTCCTGCCTTTTAAACTCCTGCTCAAAGCAGGGTCTCTAAGATCCCAATATGCTGAAGGCCTTTTGCACATTGTACCCTCACGGCACACTGTCCCCTGCTCAGTTTATTGGCCTGTGATCCCGCCCTATAGCTCCCTGCCTCAGCACCAGGGAGTGGAGGCAGCCCTGAAGCCAGGCCAGGGGGAGCAGTCACTTTTTTAAAGCTTTAAACACTCTTACCTTTATTGGGTATAAAGGACATACAATGAAAGACATCCATTTTTTTTTTTTTTTTTGGTTTTTCTCCGGTACCGGGAACCGAACTCACGACCTTGCGCTTGCCAGGCAGGCGCTTTTGCCACTGAGCTAAATCCCCAGCCCCGAAAGACATCCATTTTAGGTATGCAGTTCAGTGGGCTTTGCCTAATTATCCCTGTCACCATCCTCATCACATTCAAGGTAGAAAACATTGCCGTCACCCAAAAGTTTCCTTTGTGCCCCTTCTCAGTCGGTCCCCATCCCCGAGCCCTGCCCCCAGAGAAGCCCCAATCTGTCCATCCCTTGAGTAGACCAGTCCTCCCTAGAATTTTTGTACTTAGACTCACAGATGTACGCTTGGTTTGAAGTGTGTGATCCTTTACAGATCGTAGTTCCATAAGCAAATTAGAACTATCACAGGAATGGGGTGGCTGTGTACATCTGAGCTCCCTGTAAAAGTAAGGCCTGTCTATATTGGAAACACAGAGTCAGCCATGAATGTAACTGGTGTAAGGCGGGTGAGCAAGATACTGCAGTGGCCTGCCAGGCTGTGGGGAAGCAGTGCCTCTTGGTGAGCACAAGGATGGGAAGAACAGTGCATGCCCAGAGCCTGCTGTCTGAGGGGCACAATGATGAGGAACCCTAACTTCATGGGAGTCCTGGGCACAACTTGGTAACAGTGAGGGAGGAGGCGTGCCCCGGATAACAGCGGCTTGATCTCCACATGTGTCTCTCTGTAGGTCAGAGGAGTCCTTCAAACAGTACTTCAGTGAGATGCCCTGGCTCGCTGTCCCCTACACTGACGAGGCCCGACGGTCGCGCCTCAACCGGCTGTATGGAATCCAAGGTAGGCATCCCAGACCCTGCCCTCCTCCTTCCTGGATGGAAACCAGACCACTGGGGTTCACCGTGTCCCTGCCTTATTTTTAGCAGGAAAATAACACTCTTATTTCTGTGAGTGTCCATGTTGCTTGCCACCTTGAAAGTTACTTGGGGTAAATTTTATGGTATATAACTTATACCTTATTAAACCTTTTTTTTTTTAAGTACTCATCCTATGGGCCTGGAGTGCAGCTCAGTGGTAGAGGGCTTGCTTACCCTATGTGAGGCCCTAGGTTCAAAACCCAGCATTGCAAAAGAAAAAAAAAATGTATGAATGTATTTGTCTTGGTAAGAATAAATACAGTACTTGTCTTGGTAAGACAACTACTTCTCAGGCAGGTATGGTGGCACACAACTGTAGTCCTGGCATTCTGGGAGTTTGAAGCAAGAAGATGTAAGCTGGAACCCAGCCTGGGCAATCAAGCAACTTAGTGAGACCCTGTGCCCCTGAGTTCAATCCCCAGTACTACCAAAAAAAAAAAAAAAAAAGATGACTACTTCTCACCCCCAGCTTAGTGGCTTCTGGTGTGGGTAACCATGGAGCACATATTCCAAATGACTTGGCCAAAACTCTTCCCCTAAAGTTTTACTGCCACAGAAACTGACCTTTGCTTCTATCTGTGAGATGGGGATGTAAAATCTCTGCCACTAAGATGTGCTAGCAGCAGTCACAGGGAATGTGTATAAAGCACCTCTTATGCTTGCTGAAGCATGGGTACCTTTCAGGAGAGGATGTTGCCGGTGCGTGTTGAGAGCTGGGACTTGGAGTACTAATTATAATATTTTTCAGAAAAAATGATTATTAGAGCAAGAAAGTATGCTTTTATTCTTTTTTATGTGAACACTACCATCCTAGTCTTCAGCCAGGCTAGTGGCTGGGGATGTGTTCTGTAGGAGAGCATCTGCCTAGCAGGTGCCAGGCCCTAGGTTCAATCCCCAGCACTGAAAAAACCCAAAAATAAATCAAAAACGTGGATGCATGGAGCTGTGCTTTGTCCTTCTTGTTCATGGGATTCAGTTCTCTGCCCCGCAAGTGACGCTGTGTTTTAGTTAAAGGAGATGTGACTGTCTTTTTGTAACTGCGGTGGGGAAGGGATTCTCTCTCTGCCAGTACAACCCAGCAGGCTGTGTCTCAGCTCTTGTTTCTGGCTCATGACTAGAGACCCTCTGCAGGCTACAGATGAGACAGCTGGTAGGCTGAGTAGGGTCCAGGTCTTTCCTAAGTGTCGCCAAGACTCCCCATCTCCTGTAGTGCCATATCCATGCCCTGCCTACTCCGGTGACCATGGACTTTCCACCTCGGCCTTTAGTAATACTGGGACACCCCTGGGCTTTTTCAAATCCCCATTCCCCACAGATACCAGCAGGTGCCTTTAATGTGGGATCTCCTCTGACCCTCAACCGTAGTCTGGTCTCTCTTCAAATGTGCATAAAACACAATTCTGTGATGTGACTGAGCCTTGGCACACACGCTTATAGATGACTTGAAAAGCATCTCACAGGTACAGGCCGAAAATGTCAACTGTCCTATGTCTACCAGGCCTGGGCCTCCTGGGTCTTTGCCTGGGCCCTGTTTGCTGTCTTACTTCTTTGCACACTCACTGATCCACCACCTTAGTGTAGGCCACCAGTGTCCCAGTCCTAGCCCAGCCTTGGTGAGTGGCCTTGACCAAGTGGCCATTTAGCCTCTTTTCTCTGTAAAATTGCAATGTTTCATCAATATCCTTCACAGAAAAAGAACTCTATCCAGACACCAGTATAAAAAGAGATAGAGAGACAGTTTAGGAGAAAATTTAAGATAGGAGGTGGGAAACATACGCAGTACATACTGTCAGTATGGGTATGAAAAATATTCAGCATAATATCATGATTTACAGATGAAAATACTGACTTTGTATTTATCACTTTCCCAACCCTCACCCCCAAGATAACCAATTACAGTGTAGGAAAGAGAGCAGAGTGCAGGAGAAGTGTATAATCAGCACAGCCTTTCGGACAGCTATTTGGCAATATACATCAGCAGCCTGGAAAATCTATAAAGCCCTTAATTTAGAAATCCCATTTATAGGAATTTATTCTCAGGAAGTTATCCTCTAACACCTAATAAAGGCTGAGCTTCTTTTGTTATTTTTGGGGGTGGGGGTTGTTTTGTTTTGTTTTGTCTTTTTGAGGCAGGGTCTCACTATGCAGTTCAGGCTGGCCTTGAACTCACTTTGTAGCCCAGGCTGGCCTCAAACTCGCAGAGATCCTCCTGCCTCACCTTCCCTAGTGCACCACCTTTCTGTGAAGGATTATTGGCCACCATCCCTGGCCTGTTTTGTTTTTTGGTGCTAGGGATGGAATTCAGGGCCCTGTGCCTGCTAAGTATGTAGTAGGCACGTGCTCTACTACCGAGCTACACCTTAGCCCGAGGTTTTTGTAGTTCTTTAAATCTTTTATGTACTTTAAATTCATTACAGGGGGGCTGGGGATTTAGCTCAGTAGCAAAAAGCGCCTGCCTGGCAAGCGCAAGGTCATGAGTTCGGTTCCCAGTACCGGAGGAAAACAAAACAAAACAAAAATAAATTCATTACAGGCCACAATTCTCTGTTTGCTTTAGTCCCTAGAAATCTCAGCTGAATTTGGAATCACCTTTGGCAAGTCTATCTGTGCATGACCTTGACCCTAGCTTCATTCTCCTCCCCTTATTTTCCCTTCAGGGTGACATTTTCATTCATTTTTATTCGATTATATCATGCATTTTTTTCAGTCTTACTCAGCTCTTTGGAAAAATGGTGGAGTAGATTTAAATGCAAGGGTTCCACCTCCTGACGGCAACTCGCTGCGCAGCGCTGCCAGTGGGAAGTCACTCGGAGCGGGCTGCGTGCTGCCTGGGAGTGGGCCGGATGGGATTTACATTGACAGTAGCTGAAGAACAAGGGGTGCCGATGTCTTGAGGAATCAAAAAGTGTTGGCCAAATAAGTGCCATCTTGTGAGGGGACTTAGACAATTGGCACTTGTCCGTGGGAGGGAGCTGGTGCCGAGCCTCCCTTTGCCATTCTGCTTAGCCAGGAGGCCTCTCCTCTTGGGGCATTGTGTTCCTCAACACCACCTCATCAGTAGAGCATCCTACTTGTCAGAAGTTGGGAATTGCCCTTCCCTGAACGTGGAGGCCATTGAGACGGCAGATGTTGCTAGTGGTCAGTGCTAAGGCTGTGGGGTCACCTGAAACGAACACACTCCCAAATGACTGCCTTTTATAGTACAGTACATAGCCAGTTAGCGGGGGGGTCGTGTGTGCCCCACTGCGTTCATTGAGATGCACTTGGAGAGTGAGTAGCACGGAGGAGACATCTCACAGGCACAGATCAGGACCCTTTGTGGTTCTCCTCAAGCCCAGACAGAGGGCAGAGGCTGGAGAGGCCCATCTATAAAATGCGGGCAGAGTTCAAAATTAAATTGACAGTCTTATACCAGCCTTCAGGAAGCAGAAAAGGGAATACTCCCCTCTAATTGTACAGTGGTCAGTCTGTAAATATTGCCCAGAGGAGCTGGGGTGGTTGGGGGTAGCCCAGGCAGCCAGAAAGCAGTGACCACAATGGGAGGAAAGAACGCAGGGCTTCCAGAGGCTCATTCATTCATTCAGCCTTCAGCCCTGACAGTGTGCGGGTGAGAAGCACGTACACGATCCTCAGCTACATGGTACCCTCTGTTGAGGACCAGAAAGCTGATGTGGACAGACCCTGTCCCCAGGCAAGCAGCAGCGAGCCAGCCATACTAAGAGAGTGGGAGATTCGTCTGGAACCCAGCTCCCACCCTGAGCATCCTCTGCTGCCTAGCGCACACCTGGCCTCTCCTGCTCCCCCATCTGCCAGCTCCGTGATGTCTACATCTCCTGCCATCTGCTATGGTCTTCCACTTTTCCAGCTCCTCACCTGCTGCTTCCTTGTTCTGTGGTTTCCAGTTTCCCCTGGTGTAGTGTTTCATGCCCCTTCTTTACTTGACCTCCTGGACTAAGCCTCAGAATCCTTCTCAAGGAGCATTTAATGGGATAATCTCAATTCAAAGGAGACTCAGGCTTAGAGCTATTGAGCCACAGGAGGTGGCTCTGGAGAGGACCTTACAGAACGGGTGAGATTAGGTAAGGGCTTTGGGACATTGTGGGACACAGGTCAGAGCAGGAATGCCTGAGGTGTGCTGGAGCGGCAGAGGAGGCCACATGCAGAAAGCTTGACCACCGTGCTGAGGTCCTTGGACTTGACCCTGTGGGCACTGAAGCCAGACTGGAAGAGAAGTCCCAGAGGCGGGTCACTTACTGCAATTTCTGGTGGACACACTGAGCCTCACACTGAAGTTCAGAGCTGTGCTGCCTGAACGTGCAACCTCACCACACAGGCCTGCCCTGGGGAGATGGGTGCTGGTCCCTGGAATGTGAGTGCTCCCTCCAATCCTCCCATTGTCGCCTCTTTTCTTCTATTTAGTGGCGTTCAGGAGGGTGGGGGAGCCTGTCATCTGTATGCATTAGGCAGCTGATTTCTTGTAGACGCACAAGCTGTCATTAAGTTCTTGTGCAGCTTTTTCCGCCTTACTAGTCAGAAGCATTGTTCTCAGGGGTACCAGCCCAGGCAAGTTCCGCACCTCACTGCCTCTGACCACCAAAACAAAAGAAACTCACATCCTTCTGTTGTGGGCAGAACGATGGTGAGAACTCACCCCTGGGGCCTTGCTCAGGCCGGACCCGGAGCATAGCGATGGGGGACGTGAAGGAGCCGGCTAGGCGCTTGTCCCTGTGCCTCTTCCAGCCCATCTCTAGCGCCTGCACTAGTGGGAATATGGCCAGCTCTCCTGAGTTCCTTCAGTTTCTCCCTTCTCCATCCAACATACCTGTGGCTTCCTTAGGCTCCGTGTCTCCACATCGTCACGGATCTTCTCCATCCCCTTTCCTCTTTCTTGTTAGCATGCTCATCCTTAAGGTTTTTCCTTCG